TATTTTACATATCTATGCAGCCTGAACAAAAATAAGCTTAGGTGTCTCATGAAAAACTTTAACTTTTTAAAACACATGTTGTGAAACGGAGGTATAGGTAATGCAATGCCCTTTTTAAAATAAACACATTAGGGGCGCCTCGGTGGCGCAGTCGGTTAAGCGTCCGACTTCAGCCAGGTCACGATCTCGCGGTCCGTGAGTTCGAGCCCCGCGTCAGGCTCTGGGCTGATGGCTCGGAGCTTGGAGCCTGTTTCCGATGCTGTATCTCCCTCTCTCTCTGCCCCTCCCCCGTTCATGCTCTGTTTCTCTCTGTCCCAAAAATAAAATAAAAAAACGTTGAAAAAAAAATTTTTTTTTAAAATAAACACATTAAAAATGTATCCAAAGGTGGTATACAGAAATTATAAATCAGAGTGATACGTCACCTTCCAAATGTCTTTACAGATACCATTTAATCAATGACCATAGCAATATTTAAATGTTGGGAGGGAGATTAGAATCTATGAAGTCTTTGTTCAGGATTAACAGGCTTGGGTTCCGTAACTTAGGGAGGAGAGATATATTTTCTTATGAAAGGCAATTACAGCAGTTGAGGATATTTTTAACAACTTTTTTGAAATATAATTCACATATGATAGAATTTATCCATTTCAAGTGTACAATTCAATGATTTCCACCATATTCACAGATATATACAACCATCAACAGTGTTAGAATATTTTCATCACCTCAAAAAGAGATCCCACATCTTGGGCTATCACCCATCCCCTCCAACATTCCTATCTCAGCACTAAGTGACCATTGATCTGTGTCTCGCTTTCCCTGTTCTGTATTTTCATATGAACAGAATCATATGCTATGTAGTCTTTTGTGACTGGCTTCTTCTACTTAGCATGATGTTTTCAAGGTTTATTCACATTGTAGCATGTATTAGTACCTTATTCCTTTTTTAATGGCTGCATAATAATCCCTGGTGGACGTTTGGGTGTTCCCACTTTTTGGCTGTTAGCAATAATGTTGCTATAAAAATTCATGTACAAGCTTCTGTGTGGACATATGTTTTCATTTCTCTTGGGTATATATCTATCGAGGGGTGCTGGTCATATGATACTTCTGCATTTAATTGATTGAGGAACTGCCAGACTCTTTTCCAAAGCACCTGTACCATTTTACAGTCCAATTAGCAACATAGGAGCAATTTGATTTCTTCACATCCTCATCGATACTTATTATTGGACTTTTTGACTCTAGCCATCTTAGTGGGCATTAAGTGTTATCTCAGTGTGATTTTGGTTTGCATTTCCCAGATGACTAATGACTCTGAGCATTTTTTTCATGTGCTTTTTGGCCATTTGCATGTTTTCCTTGGAGAAATGTTTACTCAGATTCTTTGCCCATCTTTTAATGGAGTCAAACTGATTCCAATTTTTAATTTCTCTTTAATACTGAGTTGTAAGAGTTCATTATAAGTTCTGGATCCAAGTTCATTATTAGATATATGATCCGGAAATACCTCCTCCCAATCTGTTGGTTACATTTTCACTTTCTTGGTGATATCAATTTAGGTAGTTTTGAAGGACTTGAAAAAACATATTTATTTTAATTATTACAATTAAAATTTTTTTTTGTTTTGTTTTCATGTACCAGTAAGTACCAGTACAAGTTTTATTATCAGAAAGGCATGGGCTTGTGATTGTGGGTTTGTTAATCCCACAGTAAAGGTAATAGGTCACACTATTGCACAAGAAAGCAGGAGGAAGCCCACAAGCCAGAGGCCATGGGTTGTCTTCCCAGTTCTGTTATTCACAGTGTGGCTGACATTTGTCAAGTTACTCACCCTACCTGGGTCCCAATGACCTAATCCACAGAATGTGGCATTGAACTAAAACAGTGGTTTTAAAATATTCTTTATCAGTAAAAAACATATTTTCAATGAAATGTTAAGTGGACTCCTAATAGATAAGATAGATAAAAGAGTTTCCAGTTATATAAACGTGTTTGAAACTCAAATTTTTAATATTTCTTTAAAATTCAATAGGGGCGCCTGGGTGGCGCAGTCGGTTAAAGCGTCCGACTTCAGCCAGGTCACGATCTCGCGGTCCGTGAGTTCGAGCCCCGCGTCAGGCTCTGGGCTGATGCCTCAGAGCCTGGAGCCTGCTTCCGATTCTGTGTCTCCCTCTCTCTCTGCCCCTCCCCCGTTCATGCTCTGTCTCTCTCTGTCCCAAAAATAAATAAACGTTGAAAAAAAAAATTAAAAAAAAAAAATTCAATCAAAGAGCAGGGAGGGGGTATGTTAATATAAACATTTGAAACCCTAGATTATAGGTGACAGTTGTGATCTTTTATCAATGTCAATATTCAGTTTGGTTCTATATTCTGTATTAACTTTTAAAAATTCTAACGTTCAGTTAAATCACAAAGGATTTATTGTAAAGTAAATGAGTACTTTAAAAGCTTGTGTTGCAATCTCATAACACTCTTCAGTTAAACAAAAAGGGTAGAAATTTTTTTATAGGAGCATTGTTTCTATGGTAAGTGTTCTATGCTAAAATATAGGTCTTTACAAGTAAATTTCAATCGAGCACTTACGAAATCCCTGAAGCTCATTCCATAGGATAAGGTACAGTAGTCCCTTGTTATCCGTGTGAAACATGTTCCAAGACTCCCAGTGGATGGATGCCTGAACTTTACACATGCTATGTTATTTACCATAGATACATACCCATGATAAAGTTTGATTTAAAAATTGAGCACATGGGGCGCCTGGGTGGCGCAGTCGGTTAAGCGTCCGACTTCAGCCAGGTCACGATCTCGCGGTCCGTGAGTTCGAGCCCTGCGTCGGGCTCTGGGCTGATGGCTCGGAGCCTGGAGCCTGTTTCCGATTCTGTGTCTACCTCTCTCTCTGCCCTCCCCCGTTCATGCTCTGTCTCTCTCTGTCCCAAAAATAAATAAATGTTGAAAAAAAATTAAAAAAAAAATTGAGCACAGTGAGAGATTAAAAATAATAATTAACAATAAAATAGAATAATTATAACAATACTGTAATAAAGGTGGTTGCTTCCTCTCAAAATATCTTGTACTGTACTCACCCTTCTTGTGATGATGTGAGATGGTAAAATGCCTATGTGATAAGATGAAGTGGGGTGAATGACATATGTACCGTGACACACTATTAGGCTACTATTGACCTTCTGACAATAGGTCAGAAGGAGTATTATCTGCTTCTGGACAGTGGTAGACCATGAATAACTAAAAACCATGGAAAGTGAAACTGCAGACGAAGGGGACGACTGTATATATAAACCTATCAACCACTAGAGCATCCCTTCCAAGTTCATAAATTTGAAGACTTACATAAAGCTCAGAGCTGTTGTCTAGTCCCACTGGGATAACTTCTGGGACTCCTGGGCTGGTGGGAACTCCTGTGGCCACTGATTTGATAAAGCTAATTGGATCTCATTCATTTCTCTTAAGAAAGGGACAGATGGATGAGGAAGAAAGGGAGAGAATAGCACACTTGATGGATATAATCCCTGAGCAAAAATACCTCCTTCAGCAGATATTAAGGGACTCCCTTAACTCAGAAGCCCCAGAAATTTGATAGCAGAGGGAAGAGAGCCTTTAGAAATGACAGTGACTGAGGACTGAGTACACCTCTCAATAATAATCATGAGCCACTAATGTTGTAGCCGGGGGGGGGGGGGGGGGGGGGGGGGGGGGGGGGGTCTCATCCCACAGGACTTTTCAAATGCTTTACACAGTCATTTACTAGCCATTTTAGTATATGAATAGGGTGACCATATAAGTTGCCACCCAAACTAGGACATCAAGAAAATGAAAAACAGCCCTATCAATAATTATCTTGGGACAACAGTTGTAAACCAGACTGTTACCAGGCAAACTGGGACGAATAGTTGTCCTGGTTAGGAACCTTCCCCTTGCCCAACAGAAGACACTGTTAGAAAACAGACAATTTCCAGACATGTATCATTCACCTGGTAAAACCACACTTCCCAACTTTTTAAAGTACACCTTTGAAGTTATTCTAAAATGTAGAATGGGGAGTCAGCCTAAGAAGTATCTAATATATTATGGGAAAAAAGAATCACTTCTGAATTCAGGGTGCTGCCAATACACAAAAGAAAATATAAAATAAATATTAGAATTATAATTGGTTTGCTAAATATGAATTTGATTTAGTATGATTTATTTTAGCTACATCCACATAAAATAATTAGGCTTTACATTTTGGGAAGTGCATGTTGGCTATAGATAAATTTTTTTGAGTTCTTGATTTGGTTTCCAGTACTGAATTTTTACTTTAAATAATTTTTCTGTTTACATCATATCTGCTTATCTATTTTCTCTCTTTTATATTCCTTGATAGACAAAGATTATTTCTTTTACCCTTTCTTCCTCCTTTTAGTTCTATTTACAGCACCAGTTAGTTTATTCTTCACATGGCACATTCTCAAAACTATATTAACTAAGATTTTTAAAAACTTATCAAATCCACAAACACTTGTCAGATCACAAAGCATTTTTTTTTAAATCTAGTAATCAGTGGATTATCATCTAGAGCATTGCTATTCTTCTTTGATATCGCTGCGCATCTTGGGGCTACGATCCCTTCCAAAGATCCTAGTCAAAAATGCTTTGCCCCATATTTGCAGGGTCTTAACTAATCTATATTATAGTATCATTCCCATAACTATTTATTGTTAGTGAAATGGAAAAATTAAAAAAAAAAAACCCGTATCATCCCTTTTTATAATTCAAGATATTCATAGAAAAAGATCAGTTATTGATATTTGATCTAAATTTAACTTCTGGGAGTTACTTACATATATACCTTAACAATAATATGGTATAATTTACTATTTATTTTAACACTCATCCATTTGAAAATAGGAGCTGATAATAACATCAACTGGGAGCAGAGAAAGGATGAACAGGTTTGGCTGACCTTTCTGTTTTTCCATGATTCTATATATACTCACCTCCACCAAAAGGTCCCCATATGACTCGACGGATGGACTTAACCCAGTCTTCCATATCATTCTGGGTGCTCGCCATAAGGAGGTAGCTCTCATGGTTTGCTGTCATCCGATCTCGATCACCTCCTGTAAGATAGTAACACATGAGTGTATGCTCGGCTGAAGTTTCTTCATCAGCAGCAGGAGTCCCTGAAATGTACACTGTGCCTACCCAATCAATTGGAAATATTTACCATGGCTTCAGTATGAAAAAAAAATCTGCTTAAAAAGGAAAGGCTCTTATGTTTCCAGGAGAAAACTGGAGAACAAATGTCATTTCCCAAACAAAGCCTGCCTTTTTGTCCTAGCAACAGCCCATAGGTCTGCATTAACTTATAATCCAATCTATTCACACTGCACTGTTGAACAAGGAGAATTGGCAAAGCAAAATGAAAGATGGAGAAATAATCCACAGAGTCTGGATATTCATTGGAAGCAAGTGCTGAGTAGTCTAAGTACTTCTTAGTCCACACATAGTGAGGCCACCAGGACATCATGGGTAAGCAAGGGAGCTCTAGGAAAGGGAAAAGAACCACATGTAAAACTTTTGACCCAGAGGTCCTCCTGTATTCCTCCATCCTGAAAGATAAGGCACTGCTCCCAGAACACACCTGCAGGGTGGGCAAACAAAGAAAAGAGAAGAACACACAAGCCTGCCCACAAATTAAACCCCCAGATGGCCCTCACACCGAAGCGTGAGCTTTGAAACCCCAGTGGTGCCTCCATGCAAAAGCTTGATGGTTTCTCTTATTTCACCCTCCAAAAGAACAACCCATATTCTTAAAAAAATTTTTTTAATGTTTATTTATTCTCGAGACAGAGACAGAGTGTGAACAGGGGAGGGGTAGAGAGAGACAGAGACACAGAATATGAAGCAGGTTCCAGGCTCCGAGCTGTCAGCACAGAGCCCGACACGGGGCTCGAACCCACAAACTGTGAGATCATGACCTGAGCTGAAGTCGGATGCTTGACCGACTGAGCCACCCAAGCGCCCCCATATACTTTTAAACCTTTATAGTCTCCAATATCAACTTTGAAGTGCCAGAAGTCTGATGCATGTGATTTAATTTCTTAGAGATGCTTTATAGCATTTACATTTCCCTGGTGACTCAATTTTCTCATTGACAAAACGGGCATCACCGTATATGACCCTGAAAGAGGTCTTGAGGCATGGTTTTTCTTACTTCCTATCTTGTGGTTAAAGACATGTATCAGCAACTATATTGCTTCATTTTCTTCGAAAATAATTAGTGTTGTTCATGGAAGGAATAATTAAGGAAATGGAACATTTAGCTGAATTCTGAAAATATTTTAGTATTATACTAGCTTCTAAGGTGCTCCAAATATCTATGAATATTTAACTATTCACTAAGTGAACACTAAGCGTTGTACGTTTGCAGCCTTGGGTTGAATTGATTCATATGCAAGTGTTGTGTTTGATGGAAACCTTGCTGTTTGGTTTCTAAGTGGATCTGAACACCTTCATGAGGAGCTTGCATGCTCCAATTCACAATAGGCTCACCATTCACTGTTCTTTCCCACCCAACCCAACTTGCACATAGCCGTGAAAGTTGTAGGCATTGAATCTGCAACCTCTGAATTCTATACAGCTGTCCTAGGTTGAGAAATACGGTTATTCTACCACTGATATAAATGACAGAACAGGTGAAAGGTCAGAGAAGTGAAATAACTTTAAGCTTATCAGACGAACAACTAAAATTGGTGATGTACATTTTAATACAACTGGATGGAAGTAGGAGGAGGGGCTGAGGAACCACAGCAAAGTGGTTTCTTAACATTTACAAAATTCCTGAAAAAAATAAGACTAAACTTCTCACATTATAAAGAACACCTCACTGTTTGGGAAACAATAACCCTCTTACACCTGTAAGTTTATCCTCGGTCACTCATCACTTTAAGTAACTTGTATCTGAAAAAGCGCCAGTTCAGGAGTCAGAAAACCTACCTGTAATTTTATATTAGCTGCTTAATTTCTGGGAAATTACATAACTTTTGCAAACTCAGTGTTTTTAATTATGATTTACCTATAAAAATACTGTTATAGTACATTTTTTGTGAGAATTCAATGAAATAAAGTAAGAATATTAGCCCGGTGTTAGGCTAAAGGAGAAATGCTGCAAACACCAATTCAGTCTCATTTAATGGCTACTACACCTACAAATGCAAAAAGAACATATTACATTTAACTTCACCTCAGAGGGGCACCTGGTGGCTCGGTCGGTTAAGCGACTGATTTCAGCTCGGCTCATAGTTTTGGAGCCCCCCCCCCCGCCAACCATCCCAACCATCGTTAGCTCTGTGCTGACGGCTGACAGCTCAGAGCTTGGAGCCTGCTTCAGATTCTGTCTCCCTCTCTCTCTGCCCCTCCCCCACTCGCACTCTGTCTCTGTCTCTCTCTCAAAAATAAATAAACTTAAAAAAAATAACTTTAATTTGACCCCAGAGATATCATGTGTAGCAGGTGCTTGGAAACAATTAGTCAATTT